CCTCTGTCTCCTTTGCTGGCTCCCCTTCATCTTCCCCACCCCCAAACTGGAGAGGCCCAGAGCTTGGTCCACTTCCCCATCCACTCACCCCCAGTGATCTCCAGTCCAGTGGTTTCAACACCACATCTACACCAACAACTCCCAAATAAACATCTCCAGCCCACACCTCAATGAACTCCAGACACTTCTCTTTAGGTACCCTTCCCCCACACACCATTCTCCATCTCAAACTCAGCACACCCAAAACCAAACCCCTGGTTTTCTCCCCTAAAACCATCTACCTCACCTGTTAATGGCAACTTTAGTCTTCCCATCACTCAGGCCCAACCCTCGAGCCATTCTTGATTATACTTTCTCCCAGTGTCGCAGCCAACAGCAAATCCTGTTCGATCTACCTGGAAATATGTCCAGATCCACTCACTTTCCCCCTGCCCTCTGGTCTAGCATGTTCCTCTCTTGCCTGGATATTGCAGTAGCCTCCTCCCTGGTCTCCCTGCCTCCACTCCCCCACTACAGTCTTCTCAGCAATGCAGCCAGAATGGCCCCTCTAAAGCAGAGGACAGGCCACGTTGCTCCTCTGCTCAGAGCCCTCAAAGGGTTCCCATCTCAGAGTAAAAGCCAAAGTCCTCCCCATGGCCTGCAGGGCCCTGAGTGGTCTGGCACCTGCTACCTCTCTGCCACAGCACCCTCATCCCCACCTCAGGGCCTTTGCACGTGCTGTACCCCCCGCCTGGATGCCCCCATCCTATATATCCACATGGCTCCCTCACTTCCCTCAAGTTCCTGCTCAGATGTCACCTTCTTGGTGAGGCCTTCCTTGAGCACCTTATATAAAGTAGGCCCTCACTCCCCTCTGCTAGTCCCTTCCCCAGCTTTATTTGTTCTCCACAGAACTTATTCCCTCTAGTGTATTTCACATACTTGTTTATTAGCAGTCTGCCTTCTCCTACCAAATGTCTGCTCACTGCTCTATCCTCAGCTTCCAGAATGGTGCCTGGCACACAGCGGGCCCTCACTAAATATTTGTGGAATACGTTTATGGAACTCTAGTTATTTGCCAAGTAGTTACAGGTCTCACATGTGTCACCCTTTTATCCTCACTGCAACACCCTGAGGAAGGCGCTGTCATCTCCATTTTAAGGATGAGTAAGCTAAGGTACCGAGAGTTAAGCGACTGACTTGCCAGGAAGTAGGTTAGTCACAGAGCCTGTGCCCGAAGCCACTGGGCTACATAGCATCTTGGCCCCTGCTCTCCAGACTTGTGTTTTCCAAGGGTCTTCCCACCTGCCTGAATTTTGGATGCTGCCAATGACTCAGCCTCAGAGAATGGCCTGTCCTCAACTCCTGCCCAGTTTTCCTGGCCCTGCCAAAGGCTGTTCCCCAGACTTTCTGTCATTCAAGCCTCCAGGCCAGCGTCCAATTCTGCTGACAATGGTCATTTCCACAAGGGATTCTGGGAACAGTTTGTAGCTCCAATCTCTGCCCATAAATATGTTATTAGGCACTAATGGGGCCCAACTGCTGATCAAACCCAGCCCCCCCCCTCGCCAGCCTCTGCCTACAAGGACGGTTAATGGCTCTGAGACAAAACTAAAAATAAGTTGCGAGTCGATGGGGGAGGAATTACCTAGAAATGTCAGCCTGGGCAACTGTCACTGCTGAGGTGGGGCCAAGTGAAGGTGGAGGGCTCAGGGATCGGGGGAGGGCAAGAGCCAGGCTTTCTCTCACCCCAACATCTGGTCCACTGGTGCCGTGTTCCTTTGGTTTCCAGAATCTGCCCACATCCTCATTTCCATGGCCCCACCTGGTCCTGCCACCACGGTCTCCCTGCTTCTGCCCTTGCCTCTCATCCTGTCCCTCCTTTGCTCAGAACCCTCCCAGGACTCCCAACTCACCCAGAGAAAAATCCCAAGGCTTTACTCACAGGACCCAGAGGCCCTATGTGCTCTCCCCTCAGTCCCCTCCTCAGCTCTGTCTCAATGAATGATTGTGTTCATGACACTGTTTCACAACTAAGAGAGTCAGGGAACTGGGCGTGTGTGCCCGGCCCGCACCCCCACTCATATTGGTGCACACTCACAAGTGCACACCTACATGCATGCACACACTCATATATGCACAAGCACACACGCCCACCTGCGTGGCCCAGAGCTGCAGCACCATGGCCCGCGCCTGCATCTCCTCGGACACGCCCAGCTCCTCCAGGTGCCGCAGGTAACTCTCCAGCCAGGCGCTCCGGTGGGCGCGGGTGGCCAGCCTCACTGGGGACAGCAGCTTCCACAGGCGGGCTTTGACTTTGCACGCACGGTCCTTGTCCCCTGCAGGGACAGAGCATAGGGGGTGGGGGTTACAGATTCAACCCCAGTCCAGGGCCACCCACCCTGACCTCCCATGAGGCCAAGTGTCTCCTGGGTGTCACTCCATGGTGGTGGGGAGTTCCTGTGGGAACGTGCTCCAGGGAAGCCCTCTAAATGCTGACTTACTTATTGTCTGTCACCCCCAGTGAACAGGAGCAAAGAGCCTTGTGTTTTTTAGTCACCTGTGTGTCCCCAGCACCTGGCCCATAGTCTGTGCTCAATACATATGTCCAATGAATAGTGGTTTTTTACACAGCAGGGGAAGGAACACGGAACACGAAACATGAAGCAGCTTTCCCCAGACTCAGCACAGCTTCATCAGGGGACATCAGAAGCAAACTAACTGCCATCAAGAGGGGACAGATTGGTCTGGAATCTCAAACGCAGCTACCTCCAGGGAAGGTAGGTAAAGTAAAGGAGGGAGGGGGGCCAGGAAAGAGCTGAGGTGACAGAAGGTCAGGGGCAACCGCTATTCAGCTCCACCAACTAGCCCCTTGGGCTAATCTGTCCCTGGCCAGGGAGCCTGGATTCCAGAAGAAGCTGGAAGTCCAGGTGTTCATCTGGAATCTTCTCATGTTTTTAAGGTCAGCATATAAGCGAGAAGTTTTTAAGCACCGTGCAGGCCACACAAGCATCTCAAAAAGTCAACTTTGGCCCGGCCGGGGTGGCTCAGCAGTTGAGCATCCAGGAAATTGCAGGTCGGTTCCTGGTCAGGGCACATGCCCGGGTTGCGGGCTCGATCCCAGGTCAGGGGTGTGCAGGAGGCAGCTGATCAATGACTCTCTCATCATTGATGTTTCTCTCTCTTTCTCTCCCCCTCACCCTCCCTCTCTCTGAAATCAATAAAGATATATTTTAAATAAAAAAAATTTTTTAAAGTCAACTTTGGCCCACATAATCACCAGTTTGCAGTTGTGATCAAATAAATAATGGTGTGTTATGCTTTGGAAAATCAATGCAATGGGCCCACAAGGGCAGACTGTTGAGGGAATAAAGCCAGGTGCTTATTACTTAAATATTGTGTTAATGCTACAAGATGAAACGATATTTACATATATGTGTGAAAATACAAGATTTGGGTTTTCCTAAATCACCCCTTAGAAGAGTGGGAGTTGCTACGTATATTAGTTACATTTTCAAATAACATGCAGTGAGCCCAATTATTCATCTGAAATACATTATTTTCCTGTGTTTCCCAACTTTTCAGGCACTGGAAAATCACCCAGGAACTTTTAAATCTCATGCCCAGGTCCCACCATAGAACAGTGTTGTCAGAATCTCTGGGGGTCGGGCCGGGCATGTGGAAATTTGAAACAGGTGAGTTCAGGGTGAAGGAAGCATTGCAGCCACCTCAACTGATGCGATGCCTATAAGAATCACCTGATGAATTAGTTCAAAAAAGGAGGTACAGGAACTTAACAGATTTAGAAATGAGCAACATTCTTTGAGGTCAGACAGTGTAACTGCAGATCTTGAATGTCACTGTAAACACTGTTTTTAAGGATGACTTTACAAAGCAATGCAGGATGGAAAGACAACCAACAGAATAGGAGAAAAAATGCAAATCATCTATCTGCTATATATAAAACTGTACCCAAAATATATAAAAAAAACTCCCACAACTCAACAACAACAAAAACCAAACAACCCAATTCCAAAAACGGACAAAGGACTTGAACAGACATTTCTTCAAGGAGAAGCAGGTTCTAATCCCAGACCTCCCACGCTGTGTACAATAGGCTAGGCCCTGTCCACCTCTGGAACTTGCTCTCCCCATCTGTAAAAAGAGGGTCCCGGGCTTGAGTATCTCTCAAGGTTTTCCTGGGAAGTGCCTCTGTCCCCTAGAGACCTGGGGGCACAGGGGGACCCCGTCTGGGAGACAGGCTTTTACAAGTCTGTGTTTCCCTTTAAAATAAATTAGGGTTTTGTATTAGACTCTCTGGTTCTTTAATAAGAATACCTTTCCCCCCGCCAAAAAAAAAAAAAAAAAAAAAA